TACTTAGAATTTTACATTAATCAAATTAAGTTTAATTACTTAAATTACATTATTTAAATTAATTTTACTACTTCAAATCGAAGCTCACATATATAGATGTAATTTGATTATAATTATATAATATAATATATTTAACGTTGCTTTAATATAATGGTAGATTAATTACAATATAAAATAATATTTATTATAGTTTTAATATAATTATATATGTAGACGAATTTCAATTTTAAGTGATTAAACTTAAATTAATTAATACAAAACTATGAGTACTCCAATATGAAAAATGAACTCTATATTTAAAAGGAAACTACATGAAGTTAAATTGTAATTAATCTATCATTAATGTCACCTTTATTATATTATAATATTATTTCATATGTACATGTATATATATTATATTATTTATATACTTGAGCTTCACTTACAATCAACGTTACTTATATAATTATATTACAATTACAATATATATAAAAATAAAATGTAGAGATTGATGAGAAACGTTCAATTTACCATTTTATCCTTATATAACAGCGTCAACATTTTCATTCAAAGATTATAAATTGAACGTTTAATTAATATAATAGACAATATAACTATTTAAATTCAAATGACAATAAATCGAAAAGAAAAAATTGCTTAAATAAGATCAATAGTTAGAAAGGAAAGAGTCGAACATGGTAGAAATTATCCATCAATCTTACAAACCTTACTAATTACTCCTAATAATTATGAGTTACTTACCCTTCACATATTTCATATTTGTATCAACTCCACTAAATACAAGCTTCGCATCTCAATTACACATTTTTAACTAAAACTAAATTTTTAAGTATTAATAAAAACTAATATTATGTGTTCTAAAAAATAATTAATATAGTATTGAATATTTTATTTTCATTGCATGTTTATTTTTGCATAAGCATAAAAATTGATGGTAATCTAGTTTCTTGTTAGTAGCCTGTTTGAGCTCTATTTTTGGCAAAAAAAAAAAAAAAAAAAAAT